ATGTAAAGCCCAGTGTGAGATTGTTGGAAAATTCCAACATATGGAGCCACATAAGTAATATATTAAAATGTATATTGCTATTGTTTAAAGAATATTATTCAATTAAATTGATCCATTAAAGTTAATTTTGACTAATAGGTATTAAGTTTCATGGAAATATAGTGTAGAGAGTGGAATGTTGTTTTAAATTGATGAGAGACCAATTTGAAACAATTGAAAGATAATGACTATTATATTATTATTTTATATGGTTATGATCTCCATTTGATTGTATTCTTGAGATTCTCTACATCCCCATCAACAAAGAGTGGAATTGAAAAGAAGAATATTAATCAATTGGAAGATCATAACACATTCAGGCCAACAATCAAACAATATGGATGAAGGTATTTTATACTTACGCTATTTTGTTATTTTCTCTAGTTTTAACATGAAGTTTTATTTAGGATTTATATGTGAAAAATGATTTAATTAAAACATATGAATCATAATCCATTTTTGTTTTACTATCAAACACGGCCTATACTCAGTGCTTGAGTATGACATTTGGGTTCAAATACAGGCACCAAACAAATTTGCCCCGGATTTTGGTTGTGAGAGTTGGAATTCCCAGTTGCTTGTCTGGTTACAGGAGCTCAAGCAATTCATAGAAAATTATTAGCAAGTATTGAAATTGAAAGTCTACATCTCATTATTAATCTGAAAAATAACATTTAAAAGTCTTTTTTAAAGCACATAAGATGTTCACCAAAACTANNNGCACATAAGATGTTCACCAAAACTATCGATGACAAAAAAACTCATTCAATCAGAAACTCGTGGCACCGAATGAGGCGGAGATTACCCGTCAATCGGGTAAACGGGACGGGACGATGACTATTACCCCGAAGCGGGTACGGAGCGGGTACGAGAATTATAGACTTTATAGTCCCCACCTCACTATCCGTCCTGTTTAAGGTTAATTTTAAATTTAAGTTTTTTATCAAATGAAAATAATAAATTTATCATATTTTTAAAGAAAACATAAGTTGTTTCTAACAAATTGATAAAAAAATAGTAATATTTACTAAGTAAAAACATAAAATAAATAAGACGATAAATGGGACAGGGGACCCGCCCTGCCCCGCCTCGCCTCTATCCCGCCCCTTCCCACTTTACACGGATATGGAAATAAGGTAAGATAACAAAAATACCCGATGAGATAGGGTTGGGAACGACCGATCCATCCCATACCGCATGTTGCCATCCCTAACTAAAACTTGCGGTAATTACTAGAGTCCATGAACAACAACAATATTAAGCTTAAACTTTAGTTTACTTGTTGAATATTTTCAGTACTAAAAATTAAATTCTAAATCTTAAATACCATATTGAATTATATCATCTGATAAACAAACTATTTCGATAAAAAACAAAAGATAAGGCAAGAAA